GTGTGTATGTGTGTGTATGTGTGTGTATGTGTGCGTGTGTGTATTATATATGACCGTTACGTTGAATAATAATACAATTCAATTGCCATTATGCATTTTCTATAAACATTCCTTCTTTGCAAAAAAATTTTTAGGAAAAAGAAAAAGAAATATTGGAATATATTTAAACGTAGCGTTAAAGTCCAAGGACTTTTAAAGTAATTTACATAAAGATTAAAAAATTAAGTGGTATTAAATAGTATAATTTGAAATTTTTCAATTTTTTGCAAAAGCAATTCAAGAATTCAAATGTTATCACCACAACTAACAAAACTGTAGAATTTATTTCATTTTTTTCTCTCATTTTATCCTTCATAATGTATCATATCATATAAATATTAATAATTTTTTTTTTTTTACAGCAAAGCATACATCACTATATAGTACACGTCTTATTATTATTGCTCATTCCTTATAAGCTTTTGGTCATCGATTTCCAAACACTATAAAATATATGCTTTCCTTATCGCTTCAACCTAATGCAACAATCTGAAATATAAGCAATAATTTTAAAAAGAAATATATATACAAATTTATTTACTTATTTACACAGACGTATAATAATATTCGACAATTTAACTAAATAAGAACATATTCCATCATTTATTAAATGAAAGCAGAGAATAAACAAATAGAAGTGAAAAAGATTGAGAATGAAGAAAAAGAAGAAAGTAATTGATTTCACATAAACGATGGAAAAAAAAAAAGAAAACACAATAGGATAGTATGAAAAATACTGAGAACTTAATGAACAAACAAATAATTAGCAAATAAACGGATTATTTAGCAGAACTGTTAATAATAGCAATAACTGAGTGATAATCAAATGGATAATTATCTTGAAATTATTCCACTGATAGCATAACAATTGCTATTTGATAAGCATCATATCGTATTCATTTATTTCCATAATAAAAAGTAAATGAGATATATCATACACCGAGAAATAGAAGAGATGACAAATAGAAAAAAGGGACATGGTGGATGTCCATTTCCATGGGGGGGAATGTTTGGCGGTCACTTCCGTTTTTGTTTTAAGTAGTTTTTAATTAATTAGGATTATTTAGGTAAGAGATTACAGTAAATAGGATTACATTATGGGCAATTGTGGTTACAGTATCGTAATTTACGTAAAATTATACCAAAGCTTTATTTTGTAGCTATTTTATTGTTCCTTTTCCTATTCGCTTTATTTTTTTTCAATTTGAGAAATAGAATAATGTTTTTATTTTTTACATATGCTTGTAACTTACATTCACACATTTTCTATTTATGCCTATATCTATACCGTTACTTGTATTCATACTTATATTTGTGTTTGTATTTATGTTTTGTACTAAATTACATATTCTCACTTCATTTTCATTGTATTCAAACTTTTGCTCTTAGAATTATTCGGAAATTCTTCTTATGAATAAGATGTATGATATAATGATATATGAAATATGTGTAATTACAAGATTTTTAGGTTACAACGATGAGTTTATTTGGTGGATCGAAACTAGGTACTACTTCAGCTCCTATTTTTGGTACTTCAACTTCTGCACCAGCTTTTAGCTTTGGAACTGCCACTTCAGGGTTACTATTGTTTTTTTCTTTTTTTTTAAAAATATTAATCTTTGTGACTCTTTTATAACTGTTTAGAGTAATGATCATTAATTCTTACAGTCGTTCTGAATCACCAAGTTATATTCCGATTTGTTAATAAGAAAGTAATGTTTAAATGATATATCGACAGTGTCTTAGTTTTATTAAATATCAAGCTAATAGTACAAGGAATGTAGACGTTAATATTAGGATCGTTTGTTATTATGTTTTATCATAGGAATTAAGGAAGAAGAAAAAATATCAGAATGAGAAGGATAAAACGGTGAAGTATAAATTGGTAACAACGGTTTGCTTTGAATAATCAGTGATTAAAAATGCAGAAAAAAGTTTAATTGTTACGAAATTGCCATTTCAGCGCAGCTAATAAACCAATTTTTGGCTCCACTACGACTACACAGCCATCTTTGTTTGGCGCTTCGACAACACCTACTTTTGCACAACCTGGAGGATTATTCGGCTCAAAACGTAACTTTTTTTGTTCGAATTTGACTAGCAGTTTTTTTAAAGCTGTTATATTTTAGTTTGAAAAGAAAATAAGAGTGAGGATTTGTGATAATTATTGTTTGACATATCCTTTTAGACATTAAGCATTTTGTATTTAAGTATATTAAACTTTAGATATATTATAAATACATCATTATGTAATTTTTATTCTGGATAATGGTGATAAACATTGAGGCATTTTTTTGGTGATCTTTTCATCTGGCATTTTGTTATACAAGACTTTTAATCTTTTTTTGTTTCGTATGTTTCACAAACTTTTTCTTTTAGTTGTGTTCATTGTTTATGCTAAAAATATAATAGGCTACTTCGTAATGACTAGTCTGTTTCTAGCTGGAACAACAACTTCAACAAGTCTCTTATCATCAGGGATGAAGCCTGGCTTACCAGGCACTTCAACCACGTCAACTGCACAAGCTTCACAGGTCCCAACATTACAGGATTTGATACAGGTAGAATTGCACTGTGGTTTCAGAATAAAAAATTCTGTCGTAATATTTTCCATTTTATCGTTGATAGCTTCTACTTTAGTTGAAAGAAATGTTAAATTTGATGTCATTTTGTTAGAATATGAGATAAATTTTCTTCTCTACTTGAAACATTGGTCTATGTATTTATAAAGTTAAAGAACCGTTTAAAATGTAGGAACCTTTAGACAATCAAATAAATGTATCTTCAGAACTCAGAATGCCTCATTAGATCGTTAACATCACCAGATCTTTTTGGCGATGAAAGAGATGGTATTGTTGCGAAATTAAATCAGCTTTTGTCTGCATGCGGAATTGGTAACGGGTACTATAAAGGCGATCAGCATCCCATTTCCTACACCGCAGAAAACCCTTTTTACCAGTTTAAAGCGATTGGTTATAGTAGGTAAGTAAATTGAGCATTTTTTTTGTAAATAAGTTTGAATTGGTCGTTCTGTACTTCGTTTTGTTTTAAAGTATTAGCATTGGATGAAGAACTTTTTGAAAATAGAAGTTCCTACGCATATAAAAAGCAAGTATCGTTGTCTTAGCTCGTACTGCCAAGTTAGATAATGGAATGAAGTAGTGTAATTAAATAAACTTGTCGACTTCAGAAATATCGGGTGATTTTTGCCTGGTGGATGTGCATGGATGTGCATGATAAACTTTCACCAGCTATGTTGACATTTTAATTAAATACAGTGGTAATTGTACTCATAGTCGAAGGTGACTACTAAAAAAAAAATAGAATGGCCATATTTCAGAAGAAGTGATTATTGTGATAGCGATGGCATTGTAGCTCTAACTCTAGGAATTAATTATGAGCAGCTTTCAAGTGCTACTCAGCGACAAAAATTCATAGATACCATGAATCTTATACTGGGTAATAATACCAATGTCCGAGCGCACATCGAACTTATTCGTCCACTTCCAAATAATCAAACTGAAGTAAGCTATTTCAATGTTAAGCTAATCTTTTAATATGTGCTAAAAAGAAGAATAAGTATAGTGATTGATTCTTTGTTATTTCATTGCAAATTCAGGTTCCACTAATCTATTTTATCTCATTATTCGTTTTTTTCAGATTTTGTTATATGTGACAGAGAAAGGCAAAGGCAGGTCAAGTAGCAAAGAATTGTGTGCTTTCTTGAAACAACCTGCACAAGACACACAGTTGAAGAGTCAGCTTTGTGTTGTGAATGTTCTATCGCGTACAATGGTAGATGATGTGAAAAAACATGCTTTCATCAAAAATCCTCCAGCTGGTACAAGTTGATTTAGAATCACAACCTAAAAAATTAGTTTTTAATTTGGAAGCATTTCAAATTATGCTTTTGCTTAGGATTCGATTCACAAATTTGGCAACAAGCTGTTCGAGAAAATCCAGATCCTGACAAATTGCTTCCTTACCCAATCCGAGGATTTGAGCAGTTACGTAAAAGGCAAGAATTACAGGTAAAAATGTCCACATATTGAAATAAATCTCTTCTTGTGAGTGTAAATTGGGTATTTAATTTCTCATGAATGTGAATGCCTTTGCTATTGTAATCTTTCAGGCAGCAGAGATACGTGTTGAGGAACGTGTTATTGAGGAACTGAAACAAAGACTTGTCCAAGTAAATAATAAATTGACAGCAGGACAAAATCAGTATTTATATCAACGGTTTGTATTTTAGAAAATAAAAATTTATGGAAAAGAAAGTTTTTATTGCAAACTGTTTTGTCTTTCGTTATATTCGATTTTCTCCTGAAAATTTGCATTTTTCTTTTTAGACAGAGACATAAAGAATTGTCGCATCGTTTGTTACGTTGTTTAGCAATGCAGTCTCTCCTTCAACAATATACAATTAGCATAGATAGCGCGGAAGAGAAACTTGAAACACGTCTGGAAGCATTAAATGCATCTCTTATAGCACCTGACCAAATCAAGGTTTCAAATTTGTGCAATTTAAATTGTGTGGAAAGGCACTTGCAAGATATATGAAGTCTTCAAATGAGTTGAAGTCGTTTTTATTTCATTAATCTTATTCGCATGTTTAAGAGTCGGATTAATGATTTATTGGCCATTTTGCGTGACGAAGCAGAAATTCTGAAAGCACCAAATGAGATGAGACTGAAATTAACTGAAAGTGATGTGAAACAAATTAAAAGGTGAATCTAATTGAGTCTTATTAGTTACTGTTGTCATTTTCTTCTGTTTGCTTAACCAAATAAAATTAGCTACGGTGTTCTAAACATGTTATCCATTATTTATCCAAAAAAATTTAATTCGTTTTTAAAATCGAAATGAATCCAATAGATTAATTATTAGAAACAGCTGATTTCTTATTGTATCTGTTCGAAGTCTTTGTAAACATAAAGTTGTAACTTCTATTTTTTTTAGGTATTTATACCGAGCTCAGGAGGCACTCGAAACAGTTGTTGATGTTGTACGTGAAAGTGCTGATATTCTCAATATTATAGAAGCACATCTCAAATAATTTCCAATATTCAGTATATTTGTGTTAACACTTCGTTATATTTCAGTAAACTGGTGTATTTGGTTCCGCAGTTTTTCCCTTAATGCAGTGTGCTGCGCTATAAATAAAAAAACATTTTCTTACTGTGTTGTCTGGCTGTCGCACATATCTTCACCTTTATTGCAATATTTTTATATGAATGCATATCTTATCACTCTAAGACATTCGCTATCCTTCTGAAATTTTTTCTTTCAAATTTAAAAGGAATTTCGAAGTATTTTGTCACTGAATAAAAACATATTTTCAATTACATTGATACATTACTTGTTTTTATGTCATGGAGCGGAAAAATTTTCTAATCAGCAGATTAGAAAATTTAGAGATTTTCAGCACGTGTCATCATGATGTAAAAAAGCATATAAATGATTGAAAATATTTGCAGTTCGAAGATTAGGATGGAATTTGATGAAAATGATGATGAAAAACCGGGAACAAGTGTTTCAGACAGTGAAGTGAGTGAAACGGAGGGGCATATCTATAAAGTGCTGGGACATGACACTTTCGCAGATTTGAAGAAAATCAAGTAAGTGAAGTCATACAGTGAAATCTAGGTCACACAATTTTGTACAGGAATCCTAAACAAAATTAGAAGTTATTATTTTCAATTATGATGCAAGTGTTTTTTCCAATTAACTTACATTTTACTTGCTGTCGCACGATATCAGTAGAATAATAGGAATGACAGTCGCATAATCATGGTGAGTTATTTTCAGTGTTGTGCCAACATGGATTAAACAAGGTGAAACATTTGCATCAGGACTAAATGAAGAAAGTTGTGCAGAGCTTGATTTTGTCAAAGGTTTGCATCCGTTGCTTGCACATCGTGTGAGGGAGCATCTCAAGCAATGGTATCCCGTCCAGCGAGCAGTTCTTCCATGTCTTATAGCTGCAACTAATGTTTGTTCGATTTTTCCTCCAAGGTTTGCCAGTTTGAATTAAATTTGAAGTATATCAAATACCGAGAGATTTTGTCGGTGATGGTGCCAAAATATGTCTTACTTTTGTCTGATTATTCATGATAGTTTTTTTTATTGACTTTCACATATGTTGTCCAGTATACTTTCTGTTTAATAGTTTTTCAAACTTTATCATTTTTTATCAAATAATAGTCGATGAGAATTATCTTATTTTGTTCTGCCTCTGTTACCATTGGCTACATTTCAAATATCGCTAATTTTTCAAAATGCTATTAACTCCATTTTGAGATAATAAGGAAGGCCTAAAATAAAATTAATTACATTCTGTTTACTTCTGCATTTTGCAGTAGTTATTTAGCGAGCGTATAAATTTGCGGATTTTGAATTAAATGTTGTGATTTATGTGATTTCAACGATTTTCAGGTTTTTGCTGCTTTGTCATTACTAATTACCTTCGCTTTTTTTTCTAGAGATTTGGTGATTAGTTCTCCAACAGGTAGTGGTAAAACACTGTGTTATGTAATTCCAATTTTAAATGCTTTACGAGAATGCACGATGATGAATTGTCTTTTCGCATTAATTATGGTTCCAGTACAGAATCTTGTCGATCAAATAGAAAAGGTGTGCATTGGATAAATTATAGGGATTTCTGTCCAGTCAAATAAAAAATTTTGTGTCAATTTATATATTTATTTATATATGCTACAGTGCTTTTAAGGAGTTCAAAAAATATAACGTTTTCAATATACGTATCGCCTCGCTATGTGGAAATCATGATCTTAATGCTGAAAGACAACAGCTTGAAAGCGCAAATATAGCAATAGCAACGCCAGGTCGTTTGATGGAGCACATAGCAGATGTGGATTTTCCTGTCAACTTCACATACTTAAGGTTTATAATTTACAGGCATCTTAATTCGAACGTTTTTAAAAATCGAAATCAGTTGAAGTTTATGAGAGTTTATTCGGTGTTTCTAGATATTTGGTGATAGAAGCAGAATTTCAAGTTTATAAATAATGCTGATTGTTTTTTTTTCCCCTTTTTTTGTTCAACAAATCATTCTCAGTGAGCAATATGAAACTTGTATCATTTATGTAGGTTTACATTATTGTGTATTATTTAATTTTTCCTGAATTTTTTCAGATATTTGGTAGTGGATGAAGCAGATCGCATGTCACATACAGCTCGCATTGAATGGCTTAATGATCTCGAAGCTGTTACAAATTGTAACTATTTATTTCGTTAAAATAAATGATTTCCTACTCACTTAAGCAGTAGCATAGCTTTCTTTAAGTAAGATATCGTCTTGCTTTACATGGAACAATAACTGGGATAATTTTTTTCTTTTTTTTATAGACAGAAAGATAAGAATGTTCAGAGATTTATATAAATAAATGTCTCTAATAATGAGGACAATACCAAATCTTCAATAATAATCTTGTTCAGTTGAAAATTTCCATCCTTAGGGTCTGAATTTTTGTGAGCATTTGCTACTTTTTTTGAAAATTTTGTTATTAGTTTTTCCAAACTTCTGTGGAGACATCTGTTTGAAAGAAAATTATCAAGAATGTGAGCAAAACACTGCAGTCATAGGAACTTGAGAGAAATGATTGATATGCCTTACTTTGTGCCAAACAAAAATTCGTCTTAAATAATATTTAATAGCTATATCATATCTCTCAGTTTTTTATGTTATTTCAGATAATCATAATTGTGTCACAATTGATGATCTCTATGGCACAAGTTTTTTGCAAAAAATACTGCTTTCTGCCACATTATCTTTAGATGTTGAAGATCTCCATCAATGGCGCCTTCGACATCCTCGTCTTTTCAAGTATGCTTTTTTTTTTTACTTCCAGTCAAGTAATAGTCAACTGTTGTTTCAATTCTTTTATTCTGTAACTGCCAATTTAGCTGTTAACGTTGTTTACCTATTTTTTTGACCTTTCATTATATTTCCTAGATTCTTCCATTTTATTGCTTGTCCAGTGTTAAATACTATTTCTTTTGCAGGGCGGTGAAAGAAGATATCGTTGTAATGAATGAGTCAAACTTAAACAATATTATCATTCCAACTTCATTAAAGATCGAATACATTGTGTGTGACACGAAATTTAAACCATTTGCGACACATGATCGAATCGAAAGACAACAATCTTGGAAAAAAATTCTAATATTCGTTAACAGCAAGTAAGCATTATATCGAAATATTAAAATTGACTTATATAAACACACTTAATAGTGTGCCATTCCTATAATCACTAGAAATTTACCAAAAGATGAGTGTTTCTAAAGCGCTTTCTCGAAAATGGTTTTGACAACTTTGCGTCTTTTTCAATTTCAGGATGGCCAGCTATCGGCTTGCAGTATTATTGAAAACGCTTAGCGCTGGAAAATATCAAGTCGAAGAACTGTCATCAAATCTTTTTGGTAATCGGCGACAGAAAGTGCTGGCAAGGTGCAATATCTGATTTACGAAATGTTTCAAACTTTATTTTTTTCGAAAGTTAAAGGAACATGAGATATCCTGTGGCTTTTAGCGAAGATAAATTTGTGTTATTGGTAATTTTTACAAAGTTTTTTTATCCAACTAATAACACTGACTTTTTTTAATGAGGTTGAGCATTTTAATCATTTATTCTTTATTCAATAATTATTTCAGATTCAGGAAAGGAACAACACGAGTGCTTATTTCAAGTGATGTCTTGTCTCGCGGGATTGATGTTGAAGATATTGACGTCGTAATTAATTATGATAAACCACTTAACGAAAGATTATTTGTTCATCGGATAGGACGAACAGCGAGGTGTGGCAAAAAGGGAAGAGCCATCTTCCTCATTTTAGCTAAAGAAGTAACGTTTTTGCTCCTACTTTTGTTTTATACTTCTTCAGTTTTTATACCATCTGTTTACATTTTCAGAAAAAAGATCTCCAAACTACCCTCCGAAATGTTTCTTTCACCGGAAAGGTTAAAGAAAGAAATTTCGAAGGTGTGAAAGATGTTGAAACAGAAGAATTATACAGACAAGCATTAACAAAGCTTAAAGAAGCTGTACAAAATATGCAAAAGGTAGTTTTTCGGTTAGAAAGCGAAATTAAAAATGATGGAGAGATAATAAATGATAATTTCTACCTTTCTATCTTATCCTCAAGAAGAAAGTTATGAATTTAATGTACAGTCAATTCTGATCCAAAAATTGGTTTGGTAATACTGCGATCAGTTTTCGGATCGAAATTGACTACCTTCGATAAATGGTAGAAAATCATTTCGTCCTTTCACTTAATTCATGAATGTCACTTTAAAATAAAACATTATGTATATTTCATGTAGTGGACATTTTTCTTCTGATCAAAGTGTTATATAACATTTGCTGTCCATAATTATTAATTGATCATGCGCAATAAATTTGAATAACTATGATTTCTTTAGGGGAGCATCAGGAAGAGTGGAAGTTTCAAAAACAGGCGGAAAAAAGTTACGAAATCAGTTTGATATTTTTTTCAGAATTCAAATTTCAAGATTATAAATATGATCAATTGTTGTTTTTTTGCACTGCTCAATAAATTACTTTGAATGAGTAGCATTAAATTTACAACACAAAACCTGTTGATTACACAGATTCACATTACTTATGTTCGGTATGCAAAAAAAATTTTGCCTGTTGTAGCTGCAGTAGATTGAAAATTCTTCAACAGAAGTTATTTGAGATCAGAAATTATTCTTCACTGAGTAGTGATCGGATGTCATACCAAAGGAAGTGGAGAAGCTGATCTATAAGTTTTTCTTGTAGTTTTATATTTAATGTTTTATGTTTACATTTATTTGCACATTTGCCATTTCTTTTTTGATCTAGTGGAAAATTACGAGCAAGTTCAGTATTTTTAAATGGTTCTTATGTGAATGTTTATGTGGAGGCAAAAAGAAATGACATTGGTTAAGTAAATTGAAAATTTGAAACGAATTGAGATGTTTCTAAGAGACATTAATTTTTCTAAGAGATATTAAAAGTATCTCTTAGGAAAATTTTTTTAAAAGATGTTAAAAATTCTTCTAGTAAAATTAATGTCTCTTAGAGAATTCTAAGAGACATTAATTTTATTAGAAGAATTTTTAAGGTTCCTTTGAGTTTTTCCTGGCTGTGGATTTCCAAATTGATGAGTAGACATAGAATGTTTAGTGATTTTCATGATAAGAATTCCGTTATTTGTTACTCATAAATTTCTGTGGAACATTTATAGGATGATCTGGAATTGGTAGTATAGAACGATGACAGGGAGCTACTTTATGACGGATCTTGTTGCCGATAGTTTATCATCTGAAATTGACGTGGATTGGAACGAGGCTGTGCTGTACACACCGTATCATATGCAAGCTCTTCTTTATGAAGTTTGTTGACATTCTGTCGAGTTTTAAGGCTTGATCGTAATTGTTATCAGAATGTAGGCACTGCCATTCTCTTAGTTTTTCATATCACTGAACATAGCATCAACTAGCAGTGCTTAATTATAACCCATCAAATTCATCAATTACATTTTCATATTTTTGTAGTATGCTGACTGCTTAGCAGTACGAACATTGTTAAGAATGGCAAAGTTACCAATTCGCCTAGAGGAGCGTCCCAATGCTGAATTCATGTCACCAACTGGAAAAGTACCCTTCCTGAAACTGCAATCATTTTTGATATCCGAATTTTTATCAGTTGTTGATTTTCTTGCGAAACGCGTAAGTAGATATTTTGTATAATTCTATTTCCGATAATATTTGAAGTTCAACATTCTTTGTTCTTAAATTTAAATCGTAGCTTAAATCATTGCATGTAATTCAATATATAATTAATTTATCTTGCAGAATATAAAATTATCAGCTGGCTTGACGGATCTAGAACGAGGAGGTATGCATGCACATATGGCTCTTTTTGATGATATTCTTAAAAATGTCGAGGTATCATTTGGTTTTCAAGCTCTACTGAAAGTTTTAATTCTAACTGCTAGAAGTGCTTTTTTGACTAAGTCTACCAAAATTTTGCTGCAGATGTACTTTGCTTATTTTTTCTGGAATTTAAATGAACTTATTTGTTTTGCTGAAATGTTGTGGAATTCTCGTAATTTTGCTCACTTTTTAAATTTTTATAGCATTGCGAAGATTAATCGGTTATAGATGTATATGGTGTGGGTGGACAAGAGAAATTATTCTCAAGTAACGAAATATAGATACGGATCAGTCTACTTGTTTCCGTTAAATATTATTTTACCATGGAAGAAACAGCGCGAAGTGAACAACTATTTGAGTGCTCTTGATTGGAAAAATAAATCGCAGGAATGCATAATGGATCTGGCGGATCGGTGCTTCAAAAGTATGTCGTCGAAACTTGACCGCAATGAGTTAGTTTACTTTCTTAAGTTTCTTTTTTTAATATGAAGCTGAAAAAGAATTATGATTTTGCATATCAAGATTCTAATTTTGTAGTATGATATAAGTGATTCTTCTACCTTGGATAGCCATGAACTGTTCCTAACTATGCTTTGAAACTTTTCTATCTAGTCCCGAAAATGTTGTGAGCTTCCATCTCATTTTTTAATTTTTATGTTTTAAGATACTTCTTTGGCGATTCACCAACTGAACTAGATGCATTGGCATTCGGTCATTTTTATACCATTTTGACAACAGAACTGCCGAACATGGAGTTGAAAAATTATCTTCGTCGATATTCAAATTTAACTGAATTTTGTCAAAGGATTGATAAAAAGTATTTTGTTCCGGAAACAAAAAAATGAATTAGAATTCTCTATTATTCTTTTGTTTTGTGTTTTAATAAATACTTTAAAAAGACTGCAACGGGCACTAACAAAGTTGTATTAGAATGCAAAATTCAAATTTATTTCATTTATTACTGAATGTCACTAACAGTGTTAACAATCGTTCAACGATCATTTTGGAGTTGCTATAATGCAGATTTAGTAAGTTGAATCGTTGAAATCAGTTTAATGCAAAGTACTATTTTTAAATCATCCTCGGCGTTACTGTATGAAAATTTGACTCTTTTCATGTGTTTATTTTATCTTACAATATACAAAAAATACTATTATCGAGCTAAAATTTTATTGTTTACGCTGAGATCGATAGATCGATAGACCAAAACCACCCGCTACCGTTATCGTGGCTAAATATGCCGTTGTTAAGGCAGCAAATGTTCCGGCGAAAAATTTCTTATCAACACAAATTCCATCAGAAAGCCTTAATGCTTTCTCTGCCATATCTGAAATTATTCAGTTTGCCTCCAGTACTTATTTTTCATCCGAAATGAATCATTAACAGATGTAACAATTAATATTAGTTCGAAGAAAGGAATTTAAATGATAAATGATCATGAAAAGTTCAATTGGCATCTCTCGCTTTAGTCATACTTTTTTTCGTTTTGTTTTGTTTTGTTTCTTAGAATACTACAAATATGAATGAAAATGTTTGCTTGAAGAAAAACAAATGCAAAAGGAAGAAATACTTTGATATGGCAAAGTATGAATTGGTTGATCAATTACATGAAGCTTATGATGTACTAAATTATCCGTTGAATAAATTTCGGTACTCTTCTTTTCTTCTTCCATCGATCGTCTTATTCGCCTGGAGCAATCCTATAATATTAATTTATAATATTCATGCTAGCATAAAATGAAATATGAAAAATGATAATAACAAACATAATAAATTTACTACATTTCATTTACAATATTGTGATAGTGTAAAGTAAAGTAAAGAGTGATTGAATTATTAGAAATCGGATAAAAATAAGGATGAAAATAAATGGGAAGGATGGAAAAATGAAGAAAAAAAATCCTTACTTTTATGAAAACAAAATTTTTTATATTATATGATTAAATGTATTCATATTCATAGAGGATTAGATAAAGTAATTAATCACGGGTGTAATTTAAATAATTTCGTATGAAAATTTAGATAATAATAATGAAATTCTCATCAAAAAGAAAAGTGTAAAAGAGCATACTGGCTGTTTAGGACACAAATAATCAGTATTATTAGTGATAATTAGTTGATCAAATTTTCGTAGACATGTGGCAACTGCGCATGTTATCCATACTTCATCAGTATCCGGAAATTTAAATGCTAATCCGTCGGCAAATGCCTAAAGTAATCATTTATTTCATATTGCATCCTTCCTTTTAAAATTTCATCAATTCTATAAGGATATCATTTTCATTCAATTATTACCTAATTAATTAATAAGTAATGAATTTCCTTTTTTAACGAGTATTGTTTTCTTGTAAAATTCAAATGAAAAAAGAAAGAAAGAATTTTAGTTTCATTAAATTCCTTCAATTAATTTTGTTCAAATGTTACATTCATTCCTTTTCTCTCTTCTCTCTTGTCTTTTTTGTTCCTTATCAATCAAGTTTTTCCGCTTTTTTCTGTTTTTATTTTCCTTTTTTATGATAAATCTGTTCGACGATACATTATAATTGACAATAATGTCCTTGAAAATTATATCCATCCAAACCTTTACACTTTTTCAACAAAGAAATTATACGTCAGCCACAACTGCTCAATATTAAATTTTCATATTTGAATTTTTTACTTAAATCCCAAACATATAATGTATATGAATACTATTCGAACAACTTTCCAAGGTTTATTCTAAATTAAATGACAACATTGTCGGAATTAACCGACAATGTAAAATGAATTTAGAATATCGGAAGTAATTTAAAATATAATTACAGTATGACCAAAACTAAGCAAGAATTACGGTGTGCTCGAATTACAGTATGGTCGAAATTCGTATTACTCTTAAGTAGAATGAATTTAATCTATTTCTTTTTTTGTTCTCATAATAAATGAGCAATTGATAGGTTAGTAACAATACTTTAAGATGGTTAGTAATAATACCTTAAGATTATTCTCTGGATACTGTACATTGGATACGATAACAGAATCCAACGAACAACCATTTTCGATTATTTTCATCCTACGACCATCTTCTGCTTCAACTGAACATTCTTTTACCCATATACCATAAATTCCTGTGGCAAATTAATTAATTTAAAAATCCTACATAATATATTTTCCTTTTGCACTACACTGAAATGTTTTCGTTAGCCATTCTTTAATTATGCACTTAAAAGTTATTAATGAAAAAAAAATTTTTTTAAGATTTAAAAGTTATCGATTTTTTTTAAAAGTTATTTGACGCATTTAAGAATTGTTGGTGAAAAAATTCACCTGTTTTAGAGTTCAAATGCCAAATGTACATTAATGGATCACCAACAGAGACTAATCGTGCCGGTTCCATATTTGGATCCGGTACACGTCCTTGCACAACCGTAAGATTTATGCGTGGTATATCAGCTATTCCATTAATTGTACCGCGTGTATTTATTTCTCTGCAAATATTATACATCAACAATTAGTAAAAATGTTCGATTAAAATTTTAAAATCATATTTTTATTGGGAAGGGTACATTTTTTTTCACATTTTCATATTTCTAATGTTATTTCTAAATTATTTTTTATTCAAAAAGATTTCACTTTTTTTGTCGAGAGGGAAATTGATGTATTTGTACAATTTTTTACTTTTATATTATCAAATTTGAAAATTTCTCAAATTAGTGATAATAATTATTAATGCAAAATCAACATTACTTATTTGTCATTGGAAAAAAAACCAAAAAAAAATATTTACTATTTCGTTCCATCACTTATTTCTTTTTTGTTTGCATTCCGCAACAATTGAAAATGAAATTGGCCATAAAAAAAATTTCTGCTAATAAAAAAAAATAAAATTCCATCATAAAATATTTCTAAAACTTTAAAAAAGAAAAAACAAACGATAAATAATTTTTAAAAAAACAAAGAACAGTAAATAATTCAGAAGAAAAAGTATAACATAAAAAAAGGTTTTAATTTCTTTTTCCTTTTTTTATTACTAATTGGAATAATAAAATTCATAAAAATGTTGAATTTAACATACGCTATGAAATGGAATTTGGTTGCGACCTTGAAGGATTGCTGTTGGAAAATGCAATGTACCGCAAATGAACGATCGTCGGCAGTTACAAAATTTGGATGAAAACTGAAGACGAATACCACAAATATTTCAACTTCCTTTGTTTCAGACTGAAATTTAAATAATTTTTTGAAAGGAAATATATTAATTTAATTCCAAACATAAATCAATAAATGTAAGTAAAGATTCTTATGAGAATGTTGAAAAATTGATAATGTGTGCATGGAATGTAATAATTGATATGTTAGTTTGTTTGGAAAAAAAGTTGAACGATGAAATCAGGAACTGAAATTACATCAGAGTTAATACTTAAATAATGGATCTTAAGCATAGTGCAGTTGCATAGTATAAATGTTCTCGATATACATGTCAATTACTGTATCACCGTAACAACTGTAAATACAGTAGTAAAGAAATGATATAGGAAATTGGAGTTTTTCGTCTTCAAAATTGTCAACTAATTTTTGTTAGACAATATCATTTTTGCAGAAGCAATCATTTTGTTGTAATATCAAATGGTGCAAACAATTATTTGTACCGTTCATTTCTGGTGAAAAATTTTTAATTTCAAGTAATTTAGAAAATTGCGCATCATTTAGAAGATAAATTAAAGTGATTTGAACTTTTCAATAAAACAAAATATTTCATAAATTAAAATTTGCTGCCCAATTACATTTATAATGCGTATATATTATTCTCATTTGGAATACTTAAGGAAATAACAAATATTTAATCAATCTGATTATCCATATAAATGTGGAAATAAAATATTTCGAAATAAAGAACGGAGAAAAAAGAAGGAAAGGAAACAAAAAAAGAAAAAAGAGATGACCTAATTCAGGCTGATCTCAACTGGTCTTCAAACAAGGATGATAGCCTTGACCCCAGTAGAAAAAACAGTAACCTTGATCTCACTAAGAAAAATATTCATCAAAGGGATACATTATGTTAAATGAAAATGATGCGCGCTTTTTTCTTTTTTTTTAAAGAATGAGTGAATGAATGGAATGATTCATTTTAAAAGAAATTATTTCAAATGCAATAATTAAAAAAATGAATTAATTTAACAGTTCTACCACGACTGAAATGATATTCGAATTCAAATTCAAATGAATTATTTTTAATCACAACAGCTTCATTTTCTTTAAATGCAATTATTTATTTTCACATAACCAAAATTTTCAAATTTAGCTATGTTTCAAAGATTGCTTTTTTCTCTCGACTTCATTTATTTGATTTATTTCCTTTAGCTTGTTTCACTAATTCAATTTCAACTTATTTAACTGATCAAAGTTTAGTTTGTTAGTAATTTTGATGAAATATTGAATTTTTTGAAAAAAATAAAATTGTACAATGTATATTAGCGTTGCTATTGTCAGCAGTACAAAATAAAGTAATAAGTTAATCGATTAATATACTTGTGTATTTGTGTATCAATATTGCCTTGTTAATTATGCATTACTTGCAGTAAAAGTAATAAATTAATCGTCATACTCGAGTATTTTATTACGCAGAATTTTGCTATTCTCGATGGACATGCTAATAAAAAAAACGAGGAAAAGCAAAAAATTTTTGTACAAAAAAATTAATTATC